ACAAAGAACCATTTCTCCTACTCCCCTCCCCCGTAGAAGCGTTACTGACTTCATGGCCACCCCTAAAGATTTTTCATACTGAGTGAAGCCTTCGCATTTTAATCCGCTTTACGCGTCGTGCTGCATATGATGGCGGATCTAATTCGTCCGGAGGATGAGTCGAGACATCAACTTACGCTATCAATGCGAGGGCGTAACTGGGGGGGGGGGTGGTTACCATAACCCCCCCTCCTTTGCAGGCCTTTTTTCTTTTAAGGTGGCGAAAACTGGCGAGCACCCTCCGTTTGACACAGTGTGATCCCCCTTTGAAAAATTATGGCTACACCCCTGCCTGTGTGGGCAAAATTGCCTTGATATCCAATTACCAAGGATTCAAATTTTTACCAAAGAGAGAAGCGAGAATCCCTACTGATGTTTAAGATTGGCAAGGATTGCAGACGACCACCTTGAAGAATTTAGGAAGAGTCTCACCATTTAAGGTGGTCGTCTGCTGTCCTTGTTCTTAATCCTTAGGGATTCTTACTCCTCTTTTTGGTATATTCTTGGCAGTTTGTTAGGTTTAGGTCCATCTTACCAAAATAGATATTTTACGACGAGTGATCATGCGTTTCTAGGTATCATTGTACGCCGCTTAAAATTACCAATATCCTCTAAAGCTGGTTCTGTTTGAAGAGCTAAAATTTGGAAATCCAGTTTTTGTGAATGATAAATTTTGAATAACTATTCAATTTCTTTGAGATGCAGTGTTTACGTCCCAGGTAACGGGATAAGTTGCACTTGTTATCCACTGATCTGCAGACACTTTCCATCTTCATTCTACTTATCTACTTATGATGGTAATGAGATTCTTTCTGGAAGTACAATGTTCATAGCAGTATGAGATAATAGTCATTAATATCCCATTTGTCATTCAGTTGCTCGGTCATCGTTAATGGAAAAGATGAGGTCCATAGAGGAGGTCTTACATAAATAAACGCCAAAATTCTAATGAATGAAATTCTAAAGAGGTCGACGGCGAGTAGACTTTAGTTTGGAGGAATACATCCTGTTTTTTTTTTTTTTTCCGCTATGATGTCATTTTTAAGCCATAAAACCGCTTATCCAATTTTCTTCATCGAGTGTCAAAATGATACTTTCGTGATCGGCAAGAATGCATTGCACGATGCCATATTTCTAGGGAGTGGTCTAGTATCAAGTGGTTCTTATGAGATAATGTTATTATTTAGGAAGTGGTTTGTGGAAAACGCCTTGAAATGAAATGTGTTTTGAAATTAACTAGACAGACGAGACCTCTGTGTTAAGTCAAAATATTTTGACTTAACGCATATTTTACCCACACCCCTGACGACTGGGCAGATAACAAATAATACTGAGACTTTTTGATAAAGGTCCTACCGAATATTTTCATCGCTTATGAGATAAGCTGTATGCAACAACGTAGTTTGTCTACGAACAATAAATCGGACGAATCTTTCGAAAAACAAACAAGCTATTGTGAGGTGGGGTCTGGGAAACGAAAAAAAATTCTCTAAATAAAAATGGCGGATATTTTACTCACGTATCGTGCTGTATTCCAAACGCGATAACTACAGCTAGTTAAGTTTACTTGGTTTTGGTTTATGAAGGGACTTGTGTCTCAGTGGGGTATCATTTTTTAAAAGAACGCATTGGGTTATTTCAGATGTACTTCATTCAAGTCTAAAGAGCTCACTAAGCCTTCGTTGGTTATGCCCAGAATCGAACACTTGTGTCAAAAATTGGACACAAGCGTCCAAAGTCAGACCTTTGTGTCTAAAATCAAGGACTGGTGTCAAAAATCGGACAACTTTATCCGATTTTGGACACTACTGTCCAATTTTAGACATTAATGTTCGATTTGAAATACTTGTGTCCGATTTGGGACACCATTGTCCGATAGAAGACAGTAGTGTTCATTTTTAGACACTAGTGTCCGATTTTGGACACTGGTGTCCTGATCTTAGATATTAATGACTGATTTTCAACTCCAGTGTCCGATTTTAGACACTTGTGTCCGATTTTGGACACTGGTGTCCGATTTTAGACGCAATCAACCGATTTTAAAGATACGTGTCTGATTTCAGACTTTTTTGTCTGATTTTGGACAAAAGTGTTCGATATTGGACACGAGTTTCCGATTTTGGACACAAGTTTCCGATTTTTGACGCTAGTGTTCAAATTTGGAAATTGGTGCCCTTTTTTAGAAAGTGATGCCTGAATTAAGGCGTAAATGTCCGATTTTGGACACTTGTGCCTGATTTGGGATACTGGTGTACGATTTTGAACAATAGTGTCCGATTTTGGGCACAAGTAACCAATGTTATACATTGTTAATTTTTTGTCTGATTTTAGACATTGACGTCCGACGTTACACTTAAGTGTCCGATTTTGGACACTAGTGTGCGGTGTCCGATTTCTGGTCGTAGTGTCTGATTTCGAACATCGCTGGTCGATTTTAGACTCTAGTGTCTGAGTTTGGACAAAAGTGCCTGATTTTAGACACAAACAGTCCGATTTTAGACACGAGTGTCTGGTTTTTGGTGGTACGGTCCAATTATTTGACACAAGTGACTGATTTAGACATCAGTGTCCGATTTTGGACACAGGTAACTGATATTGGAGATTAGTATCCGATTTTAGACATTATTGCCCGATTTTGGACACAAGTGTCCGATGTTGGTCACATGTGTCGATATAAGACACTAATGTCCGACTTTCGACACTAGTGTCTAATCGTCTAGTGTCTACTATTTTCTAATTTGGAAGCTTATTTCTGTTTTAAGAAAATAGTGTCTGATTTTAGGCACTAGTCTCCGATTTTGGACGCTAGCGTCCGATTTTCGACACTGTTGCCACCATGTGGAAGATAATTAAAAGTGTCAGGGTGGTCACGCTGCGCTAAATCTGTACGTTGTTATTTTGAGCCAACTCAGTCAATAACTACCCAGTCTGTTGCGAGTTTCCTGCTGCTTCATTCTCTTTGGATACAGTGGCTTACGAATGAAGATGTTATTTGCAACCAAGTGACTCGAAAGGCGTGAGAAGTCCTTACGAAGTGTTCCGGTGTTATAATCTTATCTGATGTTAAAGTTCTTTAGTTTTTGTGGATGTTACAGTTCACCCTTTCATAGCAATGTGTGGAAGCTTCGTATCATACCACTAGCCCCTTACCTGACGTAATGAAAATGTTGCCCTCGACTACAATCGACTAATCACATGCGTAAAAAATTTAAGCGTAAGCCTTTCCCGGATCGTTCGAGTCTGTAATTGAGAGAACCTAACCTAGGTTAACTTTTCGCGCGGTTCTTGAATGTAAAAGCTTGCGACGGACATGAAAACATACGGGCACAACCGAACAAACCGACAACTGCTTGACATCCAAAAAGGCCAGTGACACCCTAGTGTTTTATTCAGGAAAATCTTAGCACTATACAAATTGTGCACAGATTTTCCTGTTACCTTGTAATATAATAATAAACTTTTTTTTTTTTTATATTGTTCAGATGGCCTTATGAAACCAGATTTGTGCTTTTTCATTCATCAAGAAAATGGTAGTTACACGTGGACGTGTGAAGACAGAGGTCAGTATCTGAACTAATGTTTTAATTATGTAAGCTACCTTAGACATTCCGAAACGACACTGATGCAGAGTTCCAGGTTAACGGCCACACACTGGGTATCGCGACCTCCATACCATTCATGCCTTTGGGTCAATTTTCTTTAGTTCTAATTTATTTATTTATTTATTTATCAGTGATATGTATGCAGGCTGGCCCAGTTAAGCTTCAAGTTGCTTTGAATGGGCTCTTGAGATCAAACGATAAGTTATTAGCCAAGTTGACTGACGCACATAATTTTTCTTTATTTTTGGCTTAAAAATGTCTTCCTTCCAATCTACGTATCCGATTAGCTCTTACCTACTACAATTATGCAGTTTGCTACCTCATTCTCGTGGCCAACTGCACTAAATATAGTACCAATAACGGGGGAATCGAGTACAAATGTCTCGCGATGTTGTACGGTTATTTGGACAGATGGTTATCTTGTACTTTAAAACAACCTGTTTGAAAAGCATTGTTTTGATTGTGCAAAAAGCTGCCCTAAGAAAATTCAAACGATATCTGTCAGACTTCGAACAGTTATTTGTCACAGCGTACCCTCATTAGTAACAGCGATCTTATTAGTAATTCACGTTACTGTCTTCCATACAGTTCTTGTGACGTTAGTTTGGAGCATTTGGTATTGGATCCACTAATAATCCCCTAACTGATATTTTTCTTTTTTCTCATCACTTGCATGCATGATATTGTATTGATATTGTAAGAAGAAATTTTGCCTTGGTCACTCATGGGTTAAGTTTTCTTTTCGAGAGGAGTGTCTTGCCCCTTTCAACCCCAGTTTGTATTTGTCCTTACACCTTTAACTCCTAAGATCCAGTTAGTAACTATCCCTACTTTCCACTATACTTTTATTTGTAAATTAGACAAGAGAATTTAGTCTTATTCCAAAATAGAACCGTCAAGCTGATAAGCTTGTCTGTTCTCTTAATCTTTGTACAAGATAAATCATCAGAACTGCAACGAGAATTTATATCATCTCCATTTATATCATCATTGCGCATAAGTTACATGTTAATCATTTCAAAAAAAAAAAAGGAATAAGCGCATGTCTCGAGATTCAACATGCACAAGGTATTCTCTTGCCAGGGTGGCTCCTTTTCGGTTTTACTCACGACGATTTTAAACAATTTTATGGCATGTTATGATCTATGACTTGTATTTCTTATCTCGTTGAAGTGCCCTATAGAGGCACAGTCCATTATCTTGACAGGCTTTTAATGCACCGGTTAAGGTAGGGACCACATAGGGACCACATAGGGACCACATAGGGACCACATAGGGACCACATAGGGACCACATAGGGACCACATAGGGACCACATAGGGACCACATAGGGACCACATAGGGACCACATAGGGACCACATAGGGACCACATAGGGACCACATAGGGACCACATAGGATGATCAAGGTTCCTCTCTCGATAGAGATAACTGTTATATTTATAAACCTTAACAAAACAATAATTTATTCTTATCAATTAGTTGTCTTTAAAGCTTAAGATGACCATGAAATCTTCATTCCTCGACAAAATACACCGTGCACGATAAGAGCCCCTTATACAAGTAAAGGAAGCTGTTCTCGTGTTACTTTAAGCATGTATTATCATTATTATTTCAGGCGTAACAGGCCGAAAAGTTTTAGTTATTTTATCCAGGCTGTATCACTAGTATTCTTATGGAAGAAGCATTCACTAATTGTTTAAGCAAACGCTTAAACACGAATTCGATGCCATGAGTTTCGATGGTCTCAACAAGTGTAAGGCTTGGCAGAGCCGGGGGGCGTGGAGAGAAATAGGGATGGGACCCCTAAAAGAACGATACAGCAGCCTGGTGTTTCCTCAAATTTCAAGCATGACGGTAGAATAGATCGCCTCACCCCTCTCCCCTTATTCTACTCACCTAGTATACACGCAGAGCTGAAATAGACGAGACCTGATTCCTAGGGTTGCGTAGATATCTTGAAGTGTTCTCTCTTCTCGTGCCTCAAGAGAAATGTAGATATTGGCTATGCGTTGGATAATCTGAGCGTTTCAACTGTTCACTCGCAGCACTGAGTAGTGATGACTTTAGCCAATAATTTCTACCTTTGAAACACAAAGACGGCTTTTAATTTATTTTTACCCGGGTTATTTTCTGCCAACTGTCATCAAATTGGCTGTCAGTCAGTTCATTACCTTTCTAATAGCAGCGGTAGATTGACCTTGAGACAGGGTAACTTGCAGTTGACGAGAGCTGCTTGTACAGAATAGCATTTCAACTCATCACCAGCTTAATTAACTCCGCTGAGAAAATTCCACACCCAAACAAAAGGGTTTTGTCGGCTTGCAAAGGGTCTGAAAAAGCCACATATTTTAGGTTCAGGTTTTTTTACCTTTTGTTTTGTTTTATGTTGTTTATTTGTATATTCTCTTGTCCTCTTCCTACGTGTTTGACCTATGAGGGTTAGTTATATCGTGCCTTTTCCCCTACAGAAACTTATACTTCTATTCTATCTCGCAAAATTGAAGTTAATCCCTTATCGCACGCAAGGTCTATAAGTATCACGTATTCCAGCTCATTTAACAGCCACTGCAAACGTTAAGTCTCGCTTGGAAAAACAGGACACACTCCCAAGAGCAAACTAACTAAAAGATGTTGACAAAAATTGCGTTAACAAGGTCGGTATCCAAAACCGACCTCCCGTAATGCGACATTCCTGTCCCATATTAGTTTACGTTATTTTATATTTTTCCGTAGATAACGACGATTCATCAATTTTCCTTTTGCAAACATTCACTGATAAGTTGAGCAAGAGCACAGCTATGAAAGGATTTTTAGAGATAAGATGTTTAGACTCACCTGGTAATGGCATCCAATCGCTTCCTTTGAGGCAGACCTTTTTTCGTTAATCTAACACTTGTTTTCGCTCCCTTCATGTTTCCGGCTTTTGGATAAAGGAGACTTACCCCATGTTTAAGAAGCAAAGTTTCTTGCGAATTTTAGCTTGAAATCTGTGGATGGCAGATTGCTTTTAAGAGTGAACTTTCTCACATTTAAAAAGATAACAATCTTGCGGTTGTGGTCGCCTCTCTACTGACACGGATATTTTTTGCACGCGTATTTTTCTACTGAATTTCTGATCAACTTTTCATCAATTCTTTTTTATTCCTAGCGATATTTCAAATGCCACACCTTCAATAAAGTATTAAGCTTTTTGAAATTTACCTTAAGTCTAGACAAGAAAATTTAATTTCCTGAGGTCTTCCTACATTTTTGAGTAAGTTCTTTATCTGCTGTAGCCAACAGGTCTGAAACATTTGATAGTGAGATATATAGCTAGAGGAACCGATGGTTTTACCACAACGCAGTGTCATGATTTGGCCAATGTAGTCATAGAGGGTTCAAGTTTTCAAAGTTTTCAGACATTGATAGATATGAAGATTAATCGAACTGTTCGCATGTAATTGTCAGAGGGGAGTAGCGACCTTATTGAGGTATCGAATGTCAGTGTCATTGTGTTTTTCTTGCCCTTTTCGTGCCCCAAGTAACAACCACTCACTCGAGCCCTCACCTGTATTTACTGAGCTCTGGTATGGAACAGTGATCCAAAACTGCAACATGAAAAATGAGGCCTGGGGTGCGAAGAGATGAATCTTTAACCCGTTTGGTTTCTTTGGTCATATCAAGTTGTGTTTGGTGTTGTACAATGCTTCTTAATGCTCAACCTTTGGTACAAGCTCGACCGCAGGTTCTCGGGCGATATAAACGTGAGTCAGTGGATTCCTTTTATAAAAGTAATAATTGTTTTATCACTCAAAGTTACGAAAGTAGCAGGTGATATCCTCATCCCGGTAAGTTAGAGCTTTAAGCTACAAAGCACTTCCTCGACATTTTTTCTCACTTTTATTTGGAAAAGAAAGATGCGTAAACTGTTGCCAAGGATTCACAGTCAGTTGATATCATCCATATTCACCCAAGCATAAGTCCGAAATAAATGTTTACAGGGATTTTCTGCTAAGCTAAGAGTATTACATTCTATTTGACAACGTTCATGGCAGCTTGAGAGAAAACGCTAGAACTCTTAAAAGTATCAGTTGATATCGCTGGTATTTACCTAAACTTACGCCCTACTGTTATTTTTCATCTCTTTGATGTCTTGCTGGGTTTGAAACTTTTCATTTATCATCTTTGTAAATGAATCTTCTTAAATATTATCGTTTTTTTTTTCGCCGACCGGAAGTTTGGCACAATTTTTAGGTTAGGTTGTTAGCACAATATCATAGAAAAAGTAATTATCGCAGTTATCAGTTGTTTGAAATGATTCCGTGAAATTTATGTCGAATATTGATAGACGGGCTCAGAACTGAGTTCAACTTGAGGAATTTAAATCATCATTGAGGTTGCCTCAATATCGTGAGAAAAGGTCGCATACGTGTTCGTTATCTCTTAAGCTTATTAAATAAGTCGTTCGTGAATTCATGGCGGTATCAAGCATGCCAAGCAACTTTGACTTGCGCTGAATGCGACAAATTAGATTAGCGTCCACGTAACACACACAGACACACAAATAACAGGTAATATTTCAATATAAAATCAACGTGTTAGAGTGATTTTCAACCTTATCGGTATTTTTGAATGCAGTAATGATTATCTTTGCAGAAATCCAGAATACTTTAGATATGCAGCCTAATCGTTGGACACAATGATTTACTTGTTAGTAAACTTGTTTATTAGCTGTTTTAGAATGCCGTTTGCAGGTAGCCGTTCAATGTGATAAACGCTGCGTTTTCAGCTTCTTTATGTTGTAGTTATCAGCTATAACACTTATTGTGAAAATAAGTTTCCTTTTTCTTAGAACTATGAAAGCCATATGTTGTGTATGTCAAGCGGAAGACAGTAGGGTCGACTTCGTAGAGGGCCGGTCACGGTTCATGCTACTGTATTCCTTTAGTTGTAATCCGTTGCAATTTACCTTCTATCCTTGTTTCTTCCTGGTTTGTTATTTCCTCTTTTGTGTTCTTCCACCTCACTAAAATAATACAGTTTTGTGGACTAATATTCTGAAGCTCCCTTTGAGCTGAAGGTAGGTTTGCACGTAACACAAAATGTCTGCCAATGCATTTTATACATCCCTTCGCTTAAGAAATGTTTATGTTTCCGATGTTTTCTTTGTTGAGGTGGTTTTCGCAAAAATTTTTTAAAACAATTCAAACAAGAGTTAAACAGATCATCGTTTAATCATTTCTGTGACTCTTATTTAAATTGTCGTCAAGTTCCCAGAACTAGATTACTGGAAACTGATTTCTTTATTATAAAGAAATCAGTTTCCAGTAATCCCGCGTGTCAATCGGTTATTATAAGGAGGAAAACAGAATATGACATAGTCTTCTTTTGAATGACACTCGCCTGAATTACGCTCAGATGGAATTTACAAAAATGCACCTTAATGCGTTAACGTTCTTTTCCAACTTGATCTGCTCAGTAAACCGATTAAACCAAACCCGAGTGAGCATGTACCAGCCTTAGTTTCCTGTGGGAAGATTTGGATAATAAGATATCCTTTGGGAGAGAATTTAGCTCGAATAACTGCCTTGAGACATGCATACTAAGCTTAGTTTATATTTCAGTGAATTCACTTGTTTATAAAAGGATCAAATCTTGAAGATGAGCAACCCGAATTCTGCTCGACCAGGCTTTTCCATTTCTGGCAACATTTGTTCTGGCTTGAATTCAAAAGTGTTGGCGTTTTCTTGGCTGACATCTTTTTATACTCTTGGATAAGTCAGTATGGAGCCATGAAAACTTACACTTTCTGGGCGTATTGCGTTGATCCAATAGTTGGTTAACCCCACGTTGAACGAACACACCCGAGCAAATTCATGCAAGGCAAATACACAGGTGTAATTTCTAAGAATCACCGAATAATGGTGTAGTTTCGTCAGAGCTCTGTTATAGTCCTGAAAGGGATGACAGCTGAATGAACGTACGTAAAGGTGAAGGAACTGAAAGGTATTCCTTGGTGAGTAGAGAACCGTGCCCTAAAGTTACGATGGCGGTCTCTGTTTGTCCCTCGCTACATTCTTGCGGTAAAAATGGATGGGCACTCTGTTGAGTGGAAAGATCTCTTAGGATAGACAGCTTGTCTCTTTACGGAAAAAAAATCAAGTGATCTCAAGTCAAAGGTGAAATCACAAGAGTTTTGTTTTATGACATCTGTCCGTCTGGTCAGAAAAAGTTAAATTAAAATCCTTTGTTTAACTTTGTTGGCGGGTTAAATGGACATGTAAATTATGTAAGACATCTAAGGACTGATGAAAATTGCCCTGTTCACGGTTATCCTATCCACTTTCCAAACAAAAAAAAATGATCTTGAGTAGGTCACTCTTACAGGAAGATACGAACTGAAGGACTCGGACTTGGAAAGCACATTGTAATGATCATTGTAGAAGAATGTACAACGATTTGAACTTCCTTTAACTGAAGACATGTTCCTTTTAGTCAAGACTTTTTTAAGCGAAGAACAATATTTTCGTGACTTATCTTAGAATAAATGAAACCGTAATACAGGAAACGGTTACCAGGACTTGTCAGCACCCCTTTAAGATGACTACATTTAGATCTCCGTTTTAAAATCCTTCCGAATGTTATTTTGAGAGAGGAAAGTAGACTAAAGCCACTCAGTATTGAAAATCCATTCAGGATTTTTAGCTACTCTGGATTTGAAGCCACTGAGGGACAACAGACTCGTCAGTTGTTCCTTGAAGTCATCCAACGACTATTACTCCATTAAGATAATTGGTTGTTTGAAACTATATCGTACTCACACCATGACATCTTTCGCCTTTTCGTTTTACCTCAATAGTAAACCGACCGACAGAAAAATACAAAGAAAATCTTATAAAAACCAATAAATTTTTTCACCCATATTACATAAGGTAATTATAACACGGTAACAATTAAACAGCACAGCCTAGAATACATCACCTTAAGCCCAATACTGAGCTCAACTTCGCTCACCGCTGACACAAATTGTTAGTGAACATGCTATCTTCACATCTCTTCTATCACCGTTGACTGTAAACAGACCTCTATTGTGGACTACAGTAGCTCTCCATAGCTTATGCAAACAGTCGGCCTCTACTGACAACTACTACCAGCTACTTCTAGGTGAATGAGCCCTTGTAAAACATTCCCAACGTATTCTAGAGGTCCGGGAAAAAAGATAGCTTTTCTGTAACAATTACATCTTAAAATCAGAAAATTCCAGCATCTATATTGTGCGATTGAAAAGCGAAGATTAAGTTAAGATTAAGCTTTTAATAGCTTTCCAGAAAATTCTTTATTTATTGTTACACTCTACTAAATGACTGATAGAACATTACTTTAGATTAATGTGGCCCTATAGACTGCCTCGGAGATTTGATAAGGCACACGCAATATCTTGCCCACGTTAGTCTGAGGGGTCCGGTTTCCCTTTGGTTGAGATGCCGGCCCGCAAATAGCTACTTCCGGTATTTCAATGACCTTCTTGATTCTGGGTGGAGATCCAAAAAGGTTCCGTGAGGACCACTGCTTTACCCCCATCAGGGTGACGTACGATTTAGTCGAGGCAATGTGTAGAGTAATTAGTTGTAGCTTTGTTGTTTGCTGGCGTAGAAAAACATCGTAGATGGGGGAATAAAAAAGAGAATTGTTGTCAAAAGTGAAGAATAACACAGACTGTAAATGATGCGCTCAATAAAACCCACACTGACTTGTTTGAATGTATTGCAGGTTATCCCGACAACAGCCTTAAAGACGTTGACTTACTCGGGACAATAGGAAACCCACTTCCGATTGGCGTATCGCTCACGAAAGGACCTTACACGAAACCAGCATTTCACTTTCGGTCTGGAGCGAATGTTGGACGTTTCGCTCGCTACATTTTTCCAAAGGGATTTTTTAAAGAATTTTCAATCAGTGTTGTAATTCGCCCAAAATCTGCTGAACGTGGGGTGGTATTTGCTCTTTTGCCGCATATCCGCAGAGGAAATGTCATTTTGGGACTTGAGATTCACAGAGACTCCTTTTCTGAAGGGACTACAATAAGTTTGATTCACGCAAACAACGGAAATACGAGAACTGTTTTTGATTTTACCGTCCCTAGCCTGACCGGCAAATGGACTTGGCTCTCTTTTAGTATTAGAAATAATGGCGTCACGTTTTACAAAGACTGTAGAGAAGTTGACACTAAGTTTTTACCTACGGCTCTGGGTAACTTCACCCTTCCACGCAACAGTGCTTTGTACATTGGTAGAGCTGGATGGACTCCGGGGGCATCGTCAAGTGCTTTTCAGGTGAGCATGCCATGCTTGGATGGGCAGGAAAGTGTTAGTTCTGTGATAGCGCACATAACGCGCATAAGTACGTCGGACACGTTATTAAGTTTCCAAACCTTTAGACAACAGAAATTGACGTAACAACAAATTCTGAATGAAAAAAGCTGCCATTGGCTTTCCTAGGGAAAAAGCATTTTTGCACAAATTAGTCTTCTTAACCCTTTAACACCTAAGAGTTACTAACATCTTATTCCTCCAGATAATATATATCACCCTTAGATCACACGTTAAGGTCACTGGAATAGAGGAAATGATCACTATAGAAGTAGCTCTTAGTTCTTCAAGAAATGTTTCCTTGTCAGCACCTTAGGAAATGTATAGGGGACAATATGGAAGTTATGCATGTTGATGTTAGGTGTAAAGGGTTAAATATATATTTTTTCATCCTCAGGGAGATATAGCAGAACTGTCCATGCACCGTGACCCCAACAAGGCCCAGCATCAGGAGTGCAAGGCAGGTAACCTTCAGGTCGTATCAGTTTGGAGCTCTTGGAGTGAGTCGGAGTCGGGCATCTCGAAATTTAGTCTGACAGTAATTGCAGAAAAATCGATTGAATTAGTATTGATCCTCGCTCCTCTGACTGCGCATGTTTAAAGGCCTTAACGTGGCAAGCATCTGGTTATCAAATGAATCCCATACAGTCGAACCTCGATTATCCGGACCCCGATTATCCGGATTATTCGATTATCCGGACTTTCTTCTCTGGTCCCAATTTTGCCATGAATATTAATTAGTTGTGATCTTGAAAACTCAAAGTCGCAAAAAGCCCAACAATCCTTTCAAAAGACTGTTGAAACAGCGTATTATCCTATGCGCTTTTCAAAATTATAAGTGCGACGAGTCAAAGAAGTATTCTGATGCGTTCAGCTGATATATGGTTGGCTCAATTGTTTTGTTGCCAAGGGAATTTCATGATTAGTTCCTTCTGCGTGGGTTATGTAAACACACGAGCGATCGATCGTAAACTCAAATCAAAAACATGCTTACGAAGCGAAAGCTTGCCGTTCTATTGATTAAAGATAAGCAGATAATTATTTCACATTTCTATCTCATTAATATTCATATTTTCGATTATCCTGACTCTCGATTATCCGGACTATTTACCGAGGTCCCGATGAGTCCGGATAATCGAGGTTCGACTGTACTGCTGTGCGGATGTTCGGTAGTAGATCCCACGTGAAACCAAAATGTGGTGAACAAAAAAGTGACAGACTTTGATCTGATGTTCTTGCCACATTTTGATATCATTTGTGATCAAGTATGAATGGGCGCACGGCAACAAGGAATCTATTTGTAATCTATTTGTTTTAAGTAATAGAGAAGCTGAAGTTGCTCATGGTGACGTCACTGTTGTGTCTATCCTCCAATAGATAATATGCAAGAACCAAGCAAAATACGTTTATAATTCAGCTCTTAGCGATACATTTATGGAAGAACGAAAAAGACAGAATGACAAACTGATAACTGAAGGGTTTTATTGTTCTAAAAAGTGTTCTAATCATTTTTTTTTAATCTGAAGTTCAGTCCAGTAAATATGGAAACGTGACTTTAACATTTGTACCTACTTTGTCTTTAAGATATTAACAACAACAAGACCTCCAATGATCTCTACAACCTTAGCAAAGCCTTTACAAGCACATCCACCATCCTTGAGGTCCAATGCAAGTATACCAAAAGTATCAACAAACAGTTCAAGTATTGTCGACTATCTCTCAACCACGAAACGTCCGACTGTACGGAAAGCTACTGAAGGCAGTGATCAGACGATCAGTGGCGGAGAGGAAGTGACGCGAGCGGCCTTAACCTCAGTGAACAGTTTCTCCACCACATTACGACCAACTTTAAGAGACATTACTGAGGGTAATGATCTTATAACCAGTAGGGGAGAAGAAGGAACAGAGGAGGTGAGCACCGTCGATCTTGTCTATTTTACGGAACGAACAACGTTAAGGAAAGCCTCTGAAGGAAGGGATCAAACACCTAAAATTTTAACTGAGGACGCTGACTCTATATCAAGTGGCAGAACAGAGCTTCTGACGCAAAGCACATCAAAGACAACTGATGAAGTAACAACAGAAACTTCACCAAAGGAGGATACTACCACAAGCACAAAACCAGTGCCTGTTTCTGTATCTTCTTCCGCCCCTGGTATTACCACTTTAGAAGACAATGGTGCTGCTTCGAAAACGGAATCGACAACAGGAACACAGCCACTCGTAACAGAGACGAGCGTTCCAGCCACATCCTTGCCAAAAGGTACCACTGATGCAGCTACGGAAGCGAGCACCGACAGTGTTGAGGACAAGTCAACCCCTGGCCAAGAGGAATCCTCGCAAATCCCAAAAACAGATAGAGAATCGCTTTCAACAACAGCAACAACAACATCCATGAGTTCAGATTCTAGCTCAACCTTAGTTACTAGTCCAACATCGCAAACAGCATTAAGGCTAAGTTCTAGATCACCAGAGACCGCTTCGACCATTTCTACTCCTTCAAAGACCAAAACTGAACCTCCTTTTACCCAAAAAATTGACCCTGACGAAGAAATTGTGGTTGCTAGGATTGAAGGGGAAACAGACAACTCTACCAAAGGTTCTATTTCAAATAATTTAGAGTCCACTTCTTCTAGCGTAGCTAAGACATCCACCGTCAGCACTGAGGCATCAACAGTTGAAACTCACACTGTGTCTACACTTTCTAAAACATCTGAGGTGAGAAGCTGTTAAGTATTGAAATATGTTACCCGGAAATATTTACCATATCCCAACAAACGAACTTAAATTTAGTTTGCACGTCTACTTTGGTTAAATTGCATGTATTTAAGACTGTTTCTAAGGGTGGAAAGTCGATTTGACCACTCATGTTTTTTCCTTTCACTGTATGCAATAACCCATGAGCTGTTGACATCTCTGCTTTACTTACTCCTACACAGGTACTGTGTAAACACGTGCTGGCTGCGGGATCAAACGCAACTTGCTTACGTGGACCCCGCGGGCCGCCGGGATCGTTGGGACCTAAAGGAGACAAAGGAGACTCAGTTGTAGGCCCACAGGGACCGAGAGGAAGAGTGGGATACTCAGGGCGAGATGGAGGTAAGCGACTTACCAAAGGTTTAGTTGAATAGTTGCAATGCTGCAGGCTTGCACAGACATTTTTCTGGCCATCTAATACTGGAAAACTTGAACTGAGGCCACTTCTCTCGGCTTTCTTGTGATTTCCGTGTCTCAATGTCATGTTTCCCCAGACAACTGAAAACTTCACTCCTTCCCTGAGCTTGGATTCGTGTCCATGTAGTTGTGTGGTTTTAATCGCGAATATCTCCAGTTTTAGGTTTCTGAGCCGCTTTTTCTAGTCTCCGTGAGAGCTGAGAGTGAGTCCCCCATGAGAGGGAGAATTTTTTATGACTGCCCAGATATCGTTACGGATGAGTTATTTAATATTTGTTTTGACAGTGAAAGGAAAGAAGGGTGCGCGCGGGGAAATGGGACCAAAGGGTTCTCGAGGTCGACCGGGACGACCTGGGCCAGCAGTATTCTTTGATTCTGAAGAAATTGTGATCACTGTCAAGGGACAAAAGGTAAGGTCCATGATAGTGAATGATGCAAGAAAGACGTTTGGAGATGTTTCGATTTGTCGTAACACTTCTCCACGCAGAGCAACAGGATGTGCAAATCTTCTCACTGCCTGCTCTTTTTCTAGGGAGAACCGGGACCTGAGTATACATTTGTAAAGGAAATAAACTGCGATAAGGTAATCAGTGTCAGTTTGTGCTTAAGTGACTCGGCAATTGATTCTGTGTTCTTCTCTGTAAGTTGTTTTAAGGTTTGTATATTAAAATTAAGTTATGTATGTCGTTCTACCTGCAATGACTCGATGTCCAACTTGAACTAAGGCCCCGTAAGCGAAAGTGTCTTTAGTGTTCGAGTTTTTCGCGACAAAAATTTTTCCTCTGTATGTTTCTTCCACAGGATAAATGTGGCCAGTACATCCAAGGTCCAAAAGGGGAACCCGGGCAAAACGGTAACCGGGGTGCCCCGGGAACTGTGGGGTTACCTGGTCCGCCGGGAACCCCGGGAAAACCTGGAGTGATACTTGATCCAGAGACAGGATTGGTGAGTTCCACAGAAAACTCTGCAAACTTAGGAACCTCTCCTATCGGCGCCGAAAAATTTCTTTGTTACGTACCTCAGTGAAGTAGAACTTTAGATCGCAAAGTCTGAAGATCTGTTTGGTCAAGCATATGGGACAAAGACTTTTTCTTACGCTCGGTTCAGAACGAAAAACATCTCTTTATTTAGGTTTTTAAGTCTTTCTTTCTATTGACGTTGACAAGAAAAAAGATTATAAAGGAAGTTGAAGACGAACTTCGGTCTTTTGTTTGAAGACAGACAAACCATACAAGAAACCAGTCCATACAATCCGATATTCAGTTAGTTAAAAGACTTCCAAACCTGATGTGACACTTAAGTTCTGTCTTTTTGTTATTGGGCGTTAATAAAAACACAACATACAATGGACATAATTGAATATTTAATGATTTATTGGGCATGCAATACGACCCAACAGTAGCTTTTATTAATTGTTTTTCTTGTAGCCTGTTGATCCTCCGAAGGGTGAAAGAGGATACCCAGGAATGGACGGGATGGACGGACAGAAGGTTTGTTTGTCAGTGTGAGGAGTAATAGTTTTGAGCTCTTGTGTTCATAGATTGTGGTTGCCTAGGCCTACAGCCTACGGACAAAACTATAGATACCAATGCAAGGGCGTAGGTAGGGTATGGGTTCCTGGGATGTCGGTGACCCCCCTTTGTAAGCCTTTTTTCACATCAATTAAAGCACGGTGTGGAGGTCGACATGACAATGTGGTGAGTACCCTCTGTTTGACATAGTATGATCCCCCCTTTGAAAAGTCCTGGCTGCGTCCTTGCAATGTGCGCTATGTCCTCGAACTTTGTCGATGAAACCTTGAGTGTCCGTGAGTTTATGAAATATGGTGTAAAAATGTCTACATTTTGTGTTTTGAATATTTTGAAAATACAGCTATTTATGGGACGTTTCATTCACAGTTTTCACTTTTAGCCATTAAATTTAATCCGCTCGTTTAATTCACAATTTTAATTTATTTCGTTGTTGTATTTAGGGAGAGCCCGGACCGGAAGGACAGCGAGGAGTAATGGGTCCCCCTGGACAAAAGGTAATTTTAGCGGTAGTTCATGCGTCAGCTGCGCGTTCGGCGAAATATGAAGCTCGCGGAAAATATGGAGAGCACGAAGTATGCAGAAGAGTTACTGGAGGGGTAACAAGGGCAACTCTATCTTCTTGAATATGATTCATTTGGCATAGGTGAGTTTGAATAATAGTTTCGGTATCAAGTATCAGCTTGAAGAAAACCACAGCATATAAGTTCGGTAAGAAAGGAAAACATAACAGAGGCAGCAGTGAACCAATGGAACACAGATGGTGAATTATGAATTTTTTTAAAAAAAGGTTTAATTTTTGAAGATGCTGTAACAGTGAAGATAACGAACATTTTTATCACAATCAAAGATTTTTTTTCTTTTTCAAGGGCGAAAGAGGGGTTACCGGATTGATAGGTTTTCCCGGAATGAATGGGGCACCAGGACCCATCGGACTACCAGGCATGGTGAGTTTTTCTGCTAATGAAACATAGTGATTTTATCATATCTTTGCCATAGCAGAACCCGAGTGCAACTCATAACTATTGCAACTTTTTGTCTTTTGGCGATTTGGGTACTTAAACTTTTATGTGAGCTTTCCAGAGTTGGATATTTCATATTTCTGAGACAAAAGCCCCGTAGAGTACAGCTTTGTCAACGGACTTGTTAGCAAGGCAATACATATGTAAAGAATTATTTATAATACAATCTAGCATTGCGAATGTGCTTCAACGTGTAGGGTATGCCAGGGCCACGAGGTAGCCCGGGACGAGATGGCGCGAAAGGAGAAACAGGCGATAAGGTAATCGTGTTTCGAACTTAACCTTTCTTTACCGAAAGAAAGTGATTTTAGCCGTTGCATTCGACTAAACACTTTTGACTGAATTAAAACGAAAAATGTAATCTTTATCTCTAACACTTAGGGTCGAATGGGCGATCGAGGTATTCAGGGTCCAAAAGGAATGGATGGTCCAATGGTAAGTCACAGCCGGTTAATAATTAATGATATCACTATGAAGTTTTTCGGTATTTCATTCGGATCTTGAGAGGTATATCGATTTAACCGAAGGAAGCCTTGAGATAGCACTAATTGACTGATTGATATAGATGAGTTGATTGTTAATATAACTCATGCGTGAAAAGAGATCATTGAATCTCGTGGACTTTAACTGCTCTTTGAAGCTTACAGTTTTCCTCAAGCTTCCCTCTCGGAAAACTGTTCGCTTTTTGGAAACAGGTAATGGTTGTGGACAAATATCCGATCATGTTTTCGCGCCAAATGGAGGTTGTTGTTTCTAAAACTGATATGTTGTCTGATAACAGGGAGATGATGGAGTTCCAGGACCCCCGGGACCGAAGGTAAGTCACGTCATTACACGAAAAAGCTCAAGAGCCAACGAATTCACAAACTCCCCAACTACCAAGCAAACGAAAACAAGAACTCACTAATAGCGAAGTTATGAACCAACGAATCAACGAATTAACGAACCAACGAACTGATAAACAAACAAAACAACAAACAAACAAACAAGCCAACAAAGAAACTAACGAACCAAAAAACAACAAGTGAAGTGGCGCACTTGCGTGCTAACGAATTAACGAAGTAACGAACTAAAAAACGAATATGCGAAGTAGCGCACTAGCGAAGTAGCGCACTAACGAACTAACGAACTAACGAACCAAAAGACTAACAATTGAAATAGAACATTAGGGCGCTTATGAACAAACGAACTAAAAAACATACTAGTGAAGAAGCGCAGTGGCGCGCTAGCGAACAAATGAACTAAGGAACCAACAAACTAACGTGCTAACGCACTAGCGCATTAACACGCGAACGAACTAACAAACCAAAACAGATAATCAGCGAACGAGTTATCAATCTAACGAAGAAATGCATGAAGGATTTCTGAATGCGTGCCTAGCATATTAACTTTTCGGGCTTCTGCATCGTGCAGATTGCCATTGAAACACACGTTGGCGGTCTTTATCGGTTAAGTGAATCCTGAATTTGCAGGGCTCTAAAGGGAACAGCATTATGGGCCCACCAGGTCCGCCAGGACCACCGGGGCCCAAAGGGGATGCATCCATGATGGAGGTGATTCTTAGACCCGAGAAAGGAGACCAAGGAGCTCCGGGTCCACCAGGACCCCCAGGGGATTCAGGTGCATTTGAGGGCATTAAGCGAGAACCTGGACAAGCTGGGGAACCTGGAGCGAAGGGTGAAAGAGGAGTTGATGGAAGGAATGGAACTAAAGGACAGAAAGGAGATGCTGGTACCTCCCCTGGGCCTCAAGGTACATGAGCTACTCTGGAGTCATATTCTAACCTAATTTTATTTTGAAGAAGTAATTGAGGCTTTTGAAAGGACTTGGTAAAATTCACGATGTCTTGTAGGTTTGCAAACTTGAATCAGGAATATCACTATTGCCCTCGCAATTTTGATATATGTGGTGAAGAACTATGTTTTTATTACTTCTTTTTTTTTCTTTCTATTTTTTTGAGTAAATGAACCCATTAACTGGGTCGCAATTTTTGTGACGATTTCTATGCTTTTCACAGAATAAAACGAATTCACTCTTTTTGCATTAATTCCGATGTCATACATCAAATTTTTGTGTGCGCTACAATTAAACGAATACCTGCCAGTGTAATGTTTCCTTCTCTCTATCTTCAGGTGCCAAAGGAGAAAAAGGCGAGAGTGGAGATTTTTGTAATTGTAACTTTACCAAAGGGGACATCGGACCCATGGGTCCTCAGGGACCCCCCGGTCTTCCTGGGTTGCCGGGCAACAATGGAAAGAATGAAAGCGGGGAGCCAGGAGACAAGGGGGAGCCTGGGCCAAAAGGAGAAAAGGTTCGACTTTGATGTATCCATCACTTAATTTTCATTAAAATTTGTTGAAGAATAGCACTATGGCCTTCTAGAAAGAAAAACTTACTCGTTTATAAGGACAAAGTAGAAAACAGAAGTTACTGCAGGAGTTCTGCACTTGTAAAATGTTTCTCGCGGTTTAATGTAGACGTCAATATCATTTTTGCTGCTCTCGAGTTTTTTGTTTGTTTTGACCTCGCAGCATTCTGAGAGTGATTTGGTTCTGTTTTTTTCCCCCAGGGTAAACCTGGGTCTTTAGGCTTTCCTGGAGTGAGAGGGAAAAAAGGATCACAGGTCAGTATATAACGTGTCGCCTTCAATGTACAATGTTGGAATGTCGCCGTTGTCATGTTTATTTTGTGTTTTTTTGTCAGGGAGAAGAAGGACCGCAAGGGCCTGTGGGGGATACCGGAGAGAGGGGTCAGAAAGGAGAACAGGTAAATGATCCTGATTACAACAAATAGAAGACGGAAATTAAGTCTTGATTTGTTTAAAGGATTGAGCTATCGACCTATAACTTTTAAAGCTGCAAATGTCTGTGTCAAAACGTTTTCATAGTTATTTATTGTATTCAGTTACGAATTAGAATAATGCTGCTTCCTTACGCGAACTCAACCTTAAATTTTCAAAGAAAATCAGACGATTGAAAAGGCAAGAATCCTTATTTTACTCGCGATCAAGGTTTAAATTAGACCTCGTTCCAAGGGTTCTCTAATGCGACAATAAAGGGCAGGAATAGGAGGGACCCTGGGAACGAGATTTGGACTAATCCATCTTTTCATAACTTCCGACGGGTTTTTTCTCTTCCCACAGGGCTCTCAAGGAGAAAACGGTTTGAAAGGAGAAAAGGTGAGCCCGCTCGTTCAGTCTTCTCCTAATAAGCCTGGATGATGATCCTCGCAAATGTTGATTTCACTCCATATGCCAGTCTGGTGACTTTTTTAAAAACTGACGATGTCATAAAGCTACACAGTTTAAAAAAGACCATCTCTGTTGCCCCAAAGAATTTCACTTAACCTGGAATTGAGGAAAACGTTTCCGTTTGAGTCACGCGTTACACTGGTTTTGTCCTCTGTCTTTCTCAGGGAGATCAAGGCGTTGGACTCAAAGGTGAAGCAGGGGAGCCTGGTGAGACTGGTCCGCAGGGCCCACCAGGACCTCCCGGTCCAACCGTCCCAGCAATCACCGAAAAGGTAGATAGACTGCAAGAGTGTTAACTTCATTCCAAAAAAGAGCGCTGTGTATGCTACGTGTTTTCTGATGCACAAAGCTTGATTTTTCTTCCAGGGAAGCAAGGGAGAACAAGGAAATAACGGTTCTCAAGGAGAACGAGGACCGCAGGTGACACAGGACTTATAGCTGTTCATTGTAACAAGATTCAATGATTTATTCAACCTTATTACAGTGTATTTTTAACATTTAACCGGTACTTTTTGTTTTGTTTTTGTTGTTGTTTTTTTTGCAGGGAGAAAAAGGCGAGCAAGGGAGTATTGGTTTTCCCGGTAGAAAGGTGGGTAAAATAAAGTGTGTTTTTGATCGCATCATCGTATATCTTTCCTCTGAATGACAAGCTTAGCATTGTATCCTATGAATATTTGCTTTGTAGGGTGCCACAGGACGACCAGGCCCGATTGGATTTCCTGGTAAGAAAGGTGAACCAGGCGCTCAAGGCCCCAATGGTGAGGTGAGCAACCCCTATAGATCTGGAAAAAATTGGTCAGTTTTTGCCTGATTTCATTGTCATCACTACATCAGCCTCCCTGCTACTTCAATCAGTCTGTACAACCAAATGCTAGCGTATATTTCAAACCAGTTACTATGTCAAACCCCTTTATTAAACAATGCTCATCCTTCGAATTGTTTGTCCCTTCTTTTTTCTCTTAGATCATAAAAAAAGCAATATCTGTTATTTCTCATACCTATTAGGGAGTGCCTGGAGCCCAGGGTCCCGCGGGACAAAAGGGTGAGACAGGATCCAAAGGAGACCAGGTTTGAGTTCTGCCGTGTGTATGACTTTTAAAATACAAAATTTCTTGTTTGTAATTCGTTGCTTGAGCCACGTGGTTTTAGCGTCAGTTATGAGCAACGAACAAAGCCAAAAGAGAAATATTAGTTTAATTTTGCACCTGATTGGTTGAGACTGACGAGAAATATTCTGAACCAATAACAGGACGAGAAAAGAAAGAAAACCAATAGAATCCCAGATTGATTTTTAACTCAATTGAGAATTGCCATAAAGGGGGCCAAGCAAAACTTGAGCTTTCTTTAGAATAAATTTACTTGTTGCATTTTAAGCAGATAGCGAGAACTGACTCTGCTTTGTTTTACTTAATTTTTTCTCAGGGAAAACGCGGAACCATTGGATTTCCAGGTTTAAAGGGCATAAAAGGCGCTAAGGTACGATTTGGTCCCAGACCCTGATCGGATTCACTGTATGAATTACGATAGTTGGCATTGATTCTTATGATAACTCCATTTTAGTGATACTAATGAAGTTATTGAATGCCTTTCTAGGGTGATGAGGGTAGGAATGGCACTGATGGGCAGAAGGTAGGTTCATACGGTCAGATGGTCAGTCAGTTAGAAGGCCGTTATTTCATTCATTCATTCATGCATTCATTATTTCTACACTTACTCGCAAAGCAAATTTTCTTAATATCAGGTGCATTTACTTCTTAAGTCAGTGTATTTATGGCACAAAAAATTGATAGCGACGTCTAATCAAGTATCGGAAATCACCTCTTTTTCATTGTTATTTACCTCTTTTTCAGGGGGAGCCTGGTGAAAGCATCCAAGGACCACCCGGGCCTCCGGGGCCTCCGGGGCCCCCTGGTGTAACAACGGTAAGTGTGTTAAACTTGTAACCATTGTTTGTCAATTTTATCATTATTTTTCTTTTTTTTTTTTTTTATTTCCTTTCTGTATGAAATTGGCATCAAATAATACATGTGTGATTTTTTTTAACTTAGGAGACAAATACTGGAGGAGAATCCTCAGCTCAGATTTCTGCACAAAAAGGCGACAAGGTGAACAGAACTTTTCAGCAATAACTGAAGAGTGAATAGGTTTGCACATCAGCGGAGTTGGGTTTAAAAAAAAGTGATTGAGTGAGGACTTTTGAAAAAAAAGAGCGGATTGGAGAAAAATATGTGGACCGCTAAGTGGCAAAAAAAAAGTAGGACTTGATTGGGGATTCTAGCAGATAGTGGATCACATTGTTAATCTTCGGTCGGCCTTGCTTGTTTTGTTGGTGCCTTGTAAACTTTGTTTACAGCTTTCGACATTTACAGAAAGCTAGAAAATGTCTCTAGACTCGTAAACCCCGGCGATGTGGAATTTCAATTTTTTATAAGCTGTAACGCTCTCAAGGATTTGATGGATATCGAATAAAAAAATGTTTTTTATTTTGTTGATCCAAGACTGAAATAAGAGATTTGTCTTTTCAGGGTGAAATTGGAAGGATTGGTTTTCCGGGCAAGAAAGGAGAAAAGGTAACATTTAGTTTAAGAAACATCCATATCAAATGAATATCGGAGCCGAAGAAAAATGAACTCATCGATTTTTATCTGTATTCTCCTCTTTTCATGGCCCATTTGATTGTTATGAAGCTCCTAACGATGTTCTTTTTGCGTTCAGGGGACCATCGGGGAGCAAGGCATCAAAGGAGAGAAAGGGGAAGAAGGACAGGACGGAAAAACCGGAAGATTGGGATTCCCAGGGAAAAAGGGAGACCCGGGGGAAAAGGTAGATTTATAAGAAGAATTGTAAAAATAATTTGCTCCATTGAGGGATTGGTATAACTCTTGTATTATTGTTTCTTTTTTGAAGGGAGAGCGTGGATTTAATGGAACGACAGGACCTCAGGTACGGAGGTTTGAAATATGAATCTTTAAATAACATAGCAAATGATTGTAAAAATTAAGAACTTAATTAACTTCCTTTTTATCCTCGAATTTTTTAGGGAGAGGTTTATTTTTTAGGATCAATGTCAGTATCTGAGTAAGCCCGCTCCTCCCCCTCCCCTAACCCAACATTAACCCTTGCTTGTTATCGGTCGACTGTTGTTGAAAGGAAAGGAGTACGTGCGCATTTGCTCAGATACTGACTTCGATCTTGTTTTTCAACTTTCCTTAAATAACTGGTACCTTTTCGAAGTGTTGCCCTCAAGTGTTTTTCTTTCGTTATAACTTCAAAACATTGCCTCAGAAATACACACTCGCTAAGATTAACTTCTTCCTTTTGAACATTTAGAATATATTCCTAATAACATTTTTGTTTATTCTTTCATAGGGCATTACGGGTCCGCCTGGTAGCCCTGGGGAAGTGGGACGCCAGGGGCCCATTGGTTTCCCTGGACGTAGAGGCAACACGGGTACCCCAGGCCCTCCCGGGCCCCCGGGACCTCCAGGAACCCCTGGACACAAGGTAATAGTTCCTGTTTGTTATTTCCAACGTTGCAGGAGACAAATGAAAATGCGATATTTCATTGTTTTAACGGCATCTCATTCGATATTCCAATTGTTAGACCTCTATTATCAACCTAACTCTGTATAGATCCACAGAATGTTTCTAATTGGTTGTTTATCTCCTGTTGTTTTCGCGCGCTTGTACCAACCAATTAGATGCATTTGTGGGGTTAGTCACCATGAAAGAATCTTCGTTAGAATGTGGGATGATATTAGAAAGAGTCACAAACTTAAAAAGTGAAACGCACAACGAAGAAGTAGGTTTACAACTTACAGGAAATGTTTCACCTGTTCGTCTTTCAGGGAGAACCTGGTGAAGAGGTTTCCATCGGATCCACAGAGGGAGTGAATGGCAATGGAGGCAAAGCCAAAGGAGAAAAGGTTCGTTGAATCCAGTTTTGTTACCAGGGTAACGATGAGGGCGCGGTGGTTTGATGGTTGTCTCGTTAGACTCGGATTGAAAGTCTGGGATCGAGTCCTGGGACCACGTCATTGTGTTACACTCTTATACCCAGGAGTATGAATGGTTACCAACAAATTGTAACCGGAAACTAGAATGGATACCATGGCTAACCTACAATGATGATAAGGTTTAATCAACTGAGTTGAGAATGCAAATTAACCGCTGTAAAGCTGACTTTTCGAGAGTTAACCCTTCGTCAGAGCGACGTGATACACCCAGTGACGCAGCACCACTGTTTCCTCAGAAACTGAGTCGCTTTTTTATTTGTAACCTACAATGGATTAGAATCCCAACCATGGGGGGGTAACGATTTGTCCAGAGGCTTCGTGCGACAATGGTCGGGAGAAGCTTAGGCTGGATAAACTACTTGGCTGACACGTCACAGCCCGTTCGAATGTTCACCCCAGCATGCCCCTTTGGTCGTATTTGTGTTTGTTTGTTTGTTTATTTCCAGATCGATTGATCTTGCTTAGTTATTTGTTGTATTTATTCTTGTTTTTCATAGGGGGATCAAGGCGAGATTGGCAAACCAGGTTCCCAGGTGAGTTTTTCCGATAAGTGAGCATCTCCTTAGGCTTGCGTATCGGAGAGCGACACAATTTAAACTTTTCCGACGTGTTTTTGTTGTCGAGTCTTCCTTCAAGTTTAATTCGTACCGCCATACATCATTAGCAACAACAAACTTTTGCGTTGTTGTTTAGCTTTGATAAGGTTGAAAGGAGCTATTGTTAAATTATCAGTGTTCGTAACAAAAAACATTTTTCACCCTTTAACTCCAATGAGAGACCAAAACAGAATTTCTCCTTACAATATCAATACAATATTAAGCAGATAAGTGATGAGAATAAAGAAAAATATCATTAGGGGGATTATAAGTTGATCCAGTACCAAATAATTCTCTGACCTAACATCACAAGAACTGTATGGTAGACAGTAAAGAGAACTACTAATAAGATCTTGGGAGCTAAAAGGCACCTTGCTTGTTCTTAGGGAGAGAAAGGAACAAATGGAACCAACGGGATAAAAGGAGAAAAGGTGAGAAGAGAATCGAACAGTCAAACATTGTTTACTAATTCTTTTCTAGTGGGAAAACGAATAGAAGCGAGTCAAGGCGCAGCTTCTAACATACTCTGTGGTGCCATAGTTGCTGTGGTTCAACAGCTTCACGAGCTTCCAAGTGCACTCTATTCTCTTCACACGACTTTTTAGGGCAACACTACAATAATCAACCTTAATTCTAGAGTTTGACCTTATTTTATTTCATTTTATTTTTAACAGGGGGAACAAGGAGTTGGTGAGAAGGTATGGAATTATTTACCAGTGCAAAGTTGTTCAAAGGATGGACAACGTTATCCGACGGATGCGTATAATTGCTAACGAAACATACTGAACTAACCATCAAATAGGGATTTAATCACTAAATAGCGTTATCCATCCTCTGAACAACCAGGGTCAGATGATAACGCGATAATTCACATATTTACGTGATATATTTGCCGTTAACAAATCATGACATTCAATTCTCCTAGGGTCAAAAAGGTGATAATGGCATCGCAGGAAAGAAGGTTAGATCGAACGTTTTCATCTCAAAAAATACGCTTAAAGTTGACTTTGTGTTCTCTGTAAAGAATTTCTGACTCCAGGTTTAATTTTAGGGAGAGGCGGGAGTAGGAGGTGAAAAGGGGACCAAAGGAGAACAAGGGGTCCAGGGAAAACAGGGGCCTGAAGGTCCCGAAGGTCCTCAAGGTCCCCCAGGAGAGACTGGTGAACCAGGTGATCCAGGGGAGACTGGGAATACAGGACAAAAAGGACAGAAGGGGGAGAGTGGAGACGATGGGATAAAGGGAGAATCTGGACAAGCAGGGAACGATGGAGTCAACGGAACCAAGGGGAGTAAGGTCAGGAAAAGTTATATTTCTTAGTGCACTAATTATCGTTATTATTGTAATCATTATTATCATTAACATCATTATCATCATCATCATCATCACTATTATTGTTACCATTATTATTATTATTGCTATAACTTGTCTGTGTATTAGTTAGTCTTAGTTTCTTTTACTTTCCTATTAATTAATTCGTTTTTGAAGATTCACATACTTCTTCCAGTAAATGTTTTCACTCAGTCCATTCACTCCGTCGTACGATTGTTGGCTTTTAATTAAGAATTCAAAATTCTGAAGGGTAACTAGTAGGTAACCTCAAAGAACTACAATTCATTTATACAAAATTTCATAACTCCAATTTTGTTTTCTCTCTGATCTTTAACAAAACGTCAAGCCTTCAGTTTAACCACCCTTTACTTTTGTACACAGTACATCGTTTTACAGGATGTTCTTTTTTCAGGAAGGGTTCGTTTTATCTTACTATTTTTTAGGGTCAAAGAGGCGGCCTAGGTTTCCCCGGACTCAAAGGTGCAACAGGAAGCAAGGTGAAATATTTGTTTTGCCTCCATACATCTTTGAACAGTTATTTTTGAAGCTAAAACCATTTTGATTGAATTTTATCTTTCATAGGGAGAGGCTGGAATACAAGGATTGCAAGGATTAAAGGTATTTTTTTTGACAGGAAAGAACACTCACTGAAAATACAACCTACTATGAGAGCCAAATTAGCTATTAATCACTAATCACGGCTATAAATGAGTAAGGACAGGTTTAATGTTCAATTAACAATCCACACGTTTTAGTTTAGCATTACTATACCTTGCAGAGTTCTGTTTTTACTTAACAATGGGACATTTGACATCTAGAGTGGAAGAAATCATCGACCATAAACTAACCTCGTATCTATAGCCATCCGTTTGTTACACATTACATGTGCGGCTGAACACCACTTATAGTTCAGCGATCTTTTACTCCTTAGGGAGAGCCAGGGAATTCAACTGAAGGACCAATAGGACCGCAAGGACCGTCGGGAATTCCTGGTAACCCAGGCCCTCCGGTGGGTATCACTAAAAGGAATAAGATCAACAAAACATCAAAATACGCTCTAAACATTGTTATCTGGATCAAAGCCTATCTGAGCAACTGCGCACCCACCCCTTCCCTAACCCAACATTGTACTTAACTTGTTATTAGTCGACTGTTGTTGGGTTAAGGGAGGGGTGGGTGCGCAGTCGCTTAGATACTGACTTTGATCCGTTTATTTCAGCAGTTTGCCGGATGTTTGTCACAAATAAACCTGTTATATGACCTTGCTGACCAATGAGTTATTCCTTTTAGAAGAAAAATGGGATCAATATCAGTATCTGGGCAACTGCCCATCTACTCCTCCCCTAACCCAACAACAGCCTATTGATAACAAGGTAGGGTTAATGTTGGGTTGGGGGAGGGGTAGGTGGGCAGTTGCACAGATACTGATATTGATCCGAAAAATGTTAATTGGTCCAAGTATTTCTCAAGCTTTACAACAGTGATTTAACCTACAACAGCAGCATGTATGCTTTGCCTCTATCATAGGGACCACCCGGAATATCTGGTCCTCCTGGGACCCCAGGGAAAGATAGCGATGTTTCTGGTCCTCCGGGGCCACCAGGACCTCCAGGACCCCCCGGAGAAAATGCAGAGATTGGCTTTACTAATGGGCAGACAGATAATTCAGGGGTAAGGTCAGAAGATTTCCATGTTGCCTCAGCTGTCAATCAATGTTTACACCATTTTTATTCATATTATCATTATTTCCATTCTTTCCATTACCACTTTGGTTCACGGTCTTTAGGTCCGTGTTCTCTCATAGGTGCTACAGGTTACCCACAGTTACAGGTTACCCACAGTTCAAACTGTCCTCCCACGTCATTCAGCGTTTTAGATCCTTTCTCAAGATTCTTGCATCTCAAAGAGATTAGCTTTATTCTTATTAATATTTTCCTTATATATCGATATATATATATATATATATATATTTTTTTTTTTAATTAATTTTTTTTTTCGATGGAAGGTGCTGGTATTTGATACCCAAGACAGACTTATCCGTATTGTAGAGAAAGTGAAACAAGGCACCATGGCTTTTGTCATCTCCGACCAGATGTTATATATAAGGGCCTTACGCGGCTGGAGAGCGATCACGGTAAGATATCATTCCACACTTTCTTGTCTATCTCTTCTTTACCTTCTTCATCATCATTAACATCATGTTTGTAAATAGAACAAGAGAGAGGTGGTAAGTTTTGAGCTCGATAGAGAAGTAGAGAAAGAACCCTGACTAACCTTAACCCTTTACATTGCTACATCATTATGCATATTCCCTCTACTGTTCTCCAAACATTTCTTAAGGTGCTGACAAGGAGAATTTGTTTAACAATTAAGAGTTTCTTTGGTTGGTGATCATTTCCTTTATTCTCATGACCTTAATGTATGATTCAGAGGTGATATTATAGGGAGAAATTAGATGCTGGTCCCTCTTAGGGGTTAAAGGGTTAACTAACCCTAACTATAAATCTTGCTCACCGTAGAGTCTCTCTGGCTCAGTGGTAGAGCATCGCAGCGCGGATCCCAAGGTCTGAGGTTCGATTCCACATGGGGACTTAATTTTTTTTTTTGTCCCATGCTCGTAACAAGACGAAAAACATGAATATCATCACTGTCATTCGCATTACTATTGTTATTAGCTTCAGTATTGTCATACTATTATCATTATCGTTGTCATTATTGCGATCATTATCAACCGTCATTTTAATAATACTGTTTATTTCTTATATTGCGCAGTCTAGCATGCGATAAATGATCGAGTGCGCATTTTAAGACCATGGGAAGATCCCGGGAGAGCAGATTAATGTTTGTTCTTATTCTTTCAAGCATTTTTAGTTGTTTTAAGCGACTCCTAGTTGCTTGTCAAGTTCTACTGCACAGCTCCCGTCTTCGTCGTTTTCCTAACAACGTTTAAATTATCGTAAAAATTTTTCTTGTTTTCGTATTTTTTTCTATCTTGTTCCCTTGCCTTATGCCCACAGCTTGGTCCAACCATCTTCGCGGGTCCAACAGAGGCTTCCCAAACGACGAAACTCTCCACTACCAAGGTATTTCAATAACATAAGGTATATTTCTGCGTTGTAACCGAACAGCAAAACTGTCAGCTTTTTTATTACTTCCTCCATCGATTCGGCTGAGACACCGCCTGTCTCCTTACCTACCGCGCTTAGCTACCGCGCTTAGCTACCGCGCTTAGTTACCGAGCTTAGTTACTGTGCTTAGTTATCGAGCTTAGTTACCGTGCTTATTGGCAAGTTTTCTCTTTCGCAGCCTCCTACGAATCTCATTTTGTCTCCAGCAAACGTCAAACTACGAGGACCATATGTAAGTAGTGCATATTCTCTCTTACGTATTACTCGATTATAATTGTATGGGTGAGCTGAAACATTGACAGTTATCATATATGACTAGTTGCCTTCTGCAAATACCACAATAGCTCAATCAACTCTTTAGTAACCATGCTTAAGTAACAATGCAAGTCTACTTCATGTGATGGTGGTACGTGTGTCAACTATGAACATAAATGTATGGATCGATTTTCTTTGCAGGTGCGCATGGTCGCCCTCGATACACCGCAGACCGGTCAGATGCACAGCGTGAGGGGTGTGGATGAAATGTGCTGGCGGCAGTCCCGTGCTGCCAATTTAACCGGAGCATACCGAGCTTTTATTTCTAACAGGCTCCAACATGTTTATTCAATCATCCACAGAGAGGACAGAGATCTCCCTGTTGGCAACCTTCAGGTAGAACTGGGTTACTCGATAATATTTCATGCATGATAGCCTCCCTTCAAAAGTTTTCTCGATCTACTTCATTGCTAATTGGTTGCTCCAAGGTACTTCGTGTAGTTAACAAAAATGTATTTCTCGAATTTTTTGTTAGGGAGATCAGCTGTTTCCTTCTTGGAGATCCTTATTCAAGTTACAATATGCATTTAATCCTGATATCCCAATATATTCATTCAATGGATCAAACGTTCTAGAAGACCCAGCTTGGTGAGTAATCGTACAGGTAGCTCTTGTCTCGTTGATAAAGTGAATTGTTTTGGTCAATGAATAAAATAGCTAAATGAATATTTTGCTGGGTGGATGGCCTACTGACTAACTAGCAAGCAGACTGACGGACAAAATAACTGACTGACTGACTGACCGATAAAGTGCAGTGTTTTTTCATCAAGTGCAAGTGAAATATTTATCAAATGGATGACGATAGACCTTTGCAAACCTTCAATTGATAATTGACGTAGAGTTTTAGCTAAGTGACTAGATAATTAACTTTATAAATAACTGATTGTCTGCGGTGGTCGGCCTCTTGACTGTGTCAGTGAATAACTGAATGACTAGCTCATTAGCTGATTGGCTGCCTGTTTGACTGATCGACTTTCGGGACCACTAATTGGCTGACTGGCCGACGTTACGCCTGTTTACTTTGAACAAGGAAAGTTTCAAACTTCTCTGTCGCCCAAACGGTCATCTTTTTATTCGATTGTGTCATCTGTCTTTTAGACAAAGGAAAGTAGGTTTGATTGCTTTTATCTGATCCCTTGACGCCAAAACGCAGAAAAAAAAATTTAAAACTAACTTACCTTGTGACAAAGGTCTAGAAAAAATATGTAGACGTTAACGAGTTTGTAAAACTATTCACAGGCCCCTCAAGCACATCTGGCACGGATCGCGAAAAAATGGCCACAAGTACCGATTTAATTGTCGAAGCTGGATGAGCAGCCGCTCCAAGGACTCCAGTACGGCCTCGGCCTTGAATGGCCGAGAGCTAGCCTTGGCCGAGCGCGAGTTTCCTTGCAGCAGTAATCTAGTGGTGTTGTGTGTGCATATAAACCCCACACTACGCCGCCGATACAGATCTCGCCATAAAAAGGTTTTGTGAAGAATTGTTCAAACAGAAATGTTCAGAAAAAAAGAGCAAAAGGAGGAGATTGGGCACTAGTCAAGTTTTGGCTCACCATTGCGCAGTCTCCGAGGTGTCGATACCGCGAAAAGAATCTGTTAAAAAAAAAATTAACTTGTTATTTTAATTTTATTGGACGAATGTATTATCATATTTATTTTCTACGAATCCTTAAGCATTTTAAAGAAAGCTTTAATTATTTTGCGTTATAAATAATATGTCGATATGAGCGGGTGTTCTTATCCGCGCTTAAGAAAGATAGGGTGCCAGGTAAAAACGTTAATATTTTTATAATAGTTGATGGATGGGACATGTTTATGGATTCTCCTTAAATACGTTTCACATTGACTGAAAATTATTTTCAATAATGCTACTATTTCATAATTCTTAATCGAGAGACAATCCCTCTTGATCTCATATAAGTGGTTCGCAAGTGTCTATCTGTAATGCGTCATAAAGAATTCTCTTGGTTTTTGATTTGATGAAACCATGGAACGACGAGGATGGAAAATGTTAAAAAATAAATCTATTTTTTTGCTGTACATTAATATAGGTTTTTTTGACTCACTATTTTGCATTCAAAGATGGTGAGTTACATTAATTGGGTACAGTCTTGAATAAATTGGGACAATCTATGAAATACTGAAGATAAATAAATTATAATGTGATAAGGTCCCATGGAACCTTAAATTGTTATTCGTGAACAGGTCATATTTTGTTTTTAATGATGTGCATATAACTATGTTTTAACTATGTCTGCTTCTAAGCAAGTGACTAAATGTTTGAAATACCTAGAAAAGTTACATTTTTTAGATATAATAATTTCTGTATTTGCTATAATAAACCTATATGTTATTGGTAAATTCTATTTCCAAGAAAAATTTTCATCTTTGTAAGGCTTTGTAGCAGTTAACCTCAAAGATATTTTGGCGATGTCCCATGCAGTTCTTCACGGCTGGTGGCTGGTGGTGGAAACAAACTCTCCAAACTCCCTAGAAAGACAACACTGCCTTTAGCGTGTGTCAACAGAAAGATTTGACATCGATATCATTGCGCATAAACACTCGAGAAGATGTCAAGTCTCCTGAGGCAATTGCAGTTTAATCACTAAATCTTTAATCTGAGGCAGAAAAGCGGCTTGGAAATTTCATCCGCGGGGCCATTAGCTGTCGTGGTTTGTGTTATGGTAATATGTTACGTCACAGACTCGGACTTCGATCTCTGTTCATATTTAATTTCAGTTCTTCAGAAAGGAGGAAGACGTCTCTTTAGTACACCGGTCACAAAACCGAACAACCAATAACAACTGTCTCGCATTTGCGGAGCTGCGGTTTGTTTCAAGGTAGAGATCGGACAAAGTGTAGTCAACAGTTGCAGAAACTACCAAAAAAAATCAACAGTCAAATTTTCTTCGCAGCGGGGACACGGTTAGTGTTAAGGGATACGAGTAAAATTTACAAAGCATCTATGATGACTTAGCTCCCATACAGTGACAACTACTTGCGTGAAGCGTTAAACGTGATTTATGAAATATAACGCGCTTAAATACAAAGTGCCACGGCTCCGTTCTAGTTCCACTGCGAGATGTTCGGATTTTTTTCTGCTCAAAATTGTGCATTGAAATCGTTGATAGGGATCCTCAGTATGCAAATATTTTGCATAAAGGTAACTGAAGTTGATCGGCGTGGGTTCGCACCTTTTTCTTTTTGAAGGAAATAACAAAACAAAAAAGATTGATTTCATTTTGTGCGGTTTAATTTCATTAAAAAAACATTAATCAATCACTTGTCAATTCATTGTAGTTGCTAAGTCATTTGTTGCCATTCCTGTTGATTTATTTTTCGTTCTAAGTCGTTTTCTTTGCGAATTCACCGATCTCAATATCTAACAAGTTCAGAAGTTGCCTGAGTAACGACAAACTCAGATTGCCATATCTGACTGTTTTTCTTAACAGCATTTACTCGAATAGGAGTCGAAAAAGCAATTTTAAATTTGTACAGGGATGAATTTATATCTTGCTACCCTCCACTAGAGCTGAATTTTCACGAGCGACGACAAGGTTAACTGAAATCCCGTGAGTGATCAAGACAGAATTTCTCCTTACAATATCAATACAATGTCAACCAGATAAGTGACGAGAATAAAGAAAAATATAACAAGTCGATCCAATACAAACTTCCCTGAACTAACGTTATAAGAATTGTATGGTTGACAGTAAGGAGAATTACAAATTTGATCTGGGAGTTAAAGGGTCTAACCGGCACAAATAATAACGTGTGCAAAATTCGTTTCGCCCACAAATTTCGGCCAGAACTGAAAGGGAAAAATACCGAATGGGAAAAAATTGCGTCTTTTCTACCTTTAGAAAATATCTGTAGAGAGGCCACATTGTTCCATTTATTTTTCGAGGATTGGGGCAAATCACTCGACTCACTTGGTCCTTGCAAAACACAGACAAAAATAATTTATTCCTATAAATGATGGGGATTATATTACAAGATCATTTGATTTTATCAACTGAGTAGATAATGTAAATTGGTCACCGTAAAGACTTTCTGAAGCTAACGTTTCGAGTGTTAGCCCCGCGTCAGAGTGAAAGTTGTCGCTCGGCCTTGACGAGTTCTGCCTCAACCAGCTTCAGCCTCAACCAGCTTCAGCGCCACGTGGTTTAAAACCGACCAGTTTTACTTAAATTAATTAGAAGGTCTCCGGCGCCGAGTATCTCGGAGAAACGACCTTCTCTCAGCACACATTCTCTATCGTTAGGAACGGTTGGGAGGTAACGGAAGACAAAGAACCCTTGAGATAAGGTGTTGAGGGAATCTACCCATAATGCCTTTCACTTCCCACACCACTTGTAAAATGTCACGCACTATTTTTGCCTCTAATTCTCAGAAGGGAAAGTGTTACTGACTGATACACTCAGAAAACAAGTAATTTGGACTTTAAATTATCCCTTTTGGACGGTTTGATTTCTGAGAGGATTTTGTAAGTACTCAGGTTGTTTTCTATTCATTTTATGTTTTAACATTTGTACATAGCGTTCTTGACAACGAGCACAAATACATGAACACACCACCGTCGATCGCTACTTTCTGCGATGCTGGCCTCTTCGTTCCACGGCAAGGTTGTTGAACCTTTTGGCCTTGTGATTCTCTTTTGTATAGATATTGTTGCGAATAGATTTTTGCTTGATATATAACGGCATACTATGTGACTAACACAGTCTATATACTGTAAGATTTTACACCAGTAACTAACAGCGTAGTTTCTTCCAGTCGGTATATTATATACTGTAAGATTTTACGCCGTTAGTTAACGGCTTAAAATCTTACATATATATACACCGACGCAGATAGTGGCGTAAAATCTTACAGTCTACAAAGTGTTAGTCACATATTACGCCGTTAACTATCGAAGGAAGAGCAGGACTATGGAAATTCTACGCGGTCGATCGAACAATTCTGAATCTGCACTTTCATCCAGTTGATGCCAACTTACCTTCGAATGACAGCATCTTCTCAAACCTACAAATAATAAATTGTATACACGATCGATTGCTGTATTTTTTTAATGCTAAAGCTTAGTACGCGGATTTTCGTTCGTTTGCTTCTTCAGACGCTTGAACTATGATTACCATCGTTACGAACTTTGTTCCACACGTGTACAACAGGACGCTTCAAAATCGATTTACATTAGAATGTTAAGTGAAATGAGAAACTTCGCGATCGCCAAATACTTTATATTACACAAGGACTAGTTTTTCGCTCATTTTTAATATAATTTCTGTTATTCGGCTTCCTCGCTTGCCACAATATTTGTGGCGATTTAGTATGATGCCGTAAACAAATGCGGTTATTTTCAAGCACGTCCGAAATTAGTGACTGCTTGTGTCATCGGTTCAGAAAGTCTTGTTCGGCATGTGTCTTCACGTGAAATTCGAAAGAATATTCTGAACATCTTCTAGATCTTGCCGGTTAACTGAGAATTGTTACATTCTTGTATTAAATTCATGAAATCTTTATGCCGGCCGAGAAGTAGTAGGGTCCAGTTAGTGATTTACACATTTCGCGAATGAGCGAGCTATGAGGCGTTTTCGATGCCTCAAGTCCTTTGTAGAGAGAAATTTAAAGGATGTAAAGTAAACTCTAATAAGCGACGAACTTGATTAAAAAAATATTCGAGTTTATGGCTGTATTTTTCCGAATATCATTGAAAATTTATGAAGCTGCCACTTAAGGAATGCGTGACAAGAGTGATGATTTTGTCACATGCCTAGCGTCAGATACAAATATTTAATCAGTTTCAAGCAATCGTTCGACATCATAAACAAAATTCATCCAGAAACTATTTTTTGTGGGCATCCACAGTAATTTGAGAGCGAGACGATAAAGAAATAAAAATTATTAACATTGTGAAATCGGACTAAAAGGCTTTTGGGTTCTTATCACAAGACGGAAAAAACTTCGCTACCTCAAGGTGTTTGGTCACGCACTCTTGTATACCTTTCGAGGTTGTAAAATTCGACATGAAGACAATTTGAGCTCCAATTTCAATAAATTTTAGGGCTTTCTCTCTCGACGAAAACACAATCTGAACGTTTTATAGAGCCTTTGTAAATTTCTAAAGCATCAAAAATAAGAATAAAAGTTAATTTGCCGTATCGGCAATCGGTAAGCAGGACAGCTCTCCAGGGAAGTTAGCTTTATTCATAATAATCTCCGATCAGGACCAGTAAAAGGTCAGTGCATTGAAATAAGATATTTTTCACAAGGTAGTGACTTCAGGCGTCCGATGACGTCAAGGAGCTGAATCAGACGCTTAAAGTATAAAACCGAACAAGTCCATGAGGAATTCAAACGCATCGGTGAAATCCCTTAGGGTGTCTTCTAATTGCTGATCTGATTTTATTTTGACGACCTTTTTTTTAAACTGTTTTTCACAGGTCTTCAAACTGTCATGGCGAATAAAAAATGGGTATTCTGTGGATTTTCTAGAGCGGCTTAACCAGTGTGCAAATCCTTCTCCGTCCGTTGCACACTCTGCTTCAATTTACGTGAATTACTTATCCGGTTCATGTAATGGC